CGCGTCTCTGCGCGAGACGCTACGGCCAACTGAAGTACACTATAGTGGTGACCGCCCGATGACTTGCCCTGCCCGCCGTGGGCGTCTTCTGCGTTCTTCTCGTCTTTGGGCTTTCGTTCTCCGGCCATCGCTCCGCGGCCGCACTCACTAACGATCGGCAAGCTGCGGTCCGTTGTCCTGCGGCATCGCTGTGTGCCACTCGGTGACGGCGCGAACGAGACGTTCAACAACGCGGTTGTTGTCCGAAGCTAGGTCGTTTGACTCGCCCGGGTCGGCGACGATGTCGTAGAGCTGCGGCTCGGAGCCGTCGTATTCGCACAGCAGTTTCCACTTGCCGGCGCGCACGGCGAGGTCCGGCAGGTCGCCCTTGCCGTAGAACGGGATCACGTCGCGGTCCGGCGGGCGGCGGAAGAAGATCGGCTGGCGACGCGACGCGTCCGACTCGCCGCGCAAGACCTCGACGAGCGGCTCGCCATCGGCTTCGGGCATCTTGTCGGCGCCGACGCCGGCGATCTCTAGCAAGGTTGGCGGCAGGTCGAAAGCGGCGAACACCGACTCGCGATTCACGGCGCCCTTCACGCCATCGCCCAGCAGGCCCGGCCCCCACACGACCAGCGGTGATCGGACACCGCCTTCGAAGAGCGTCGCCTTGCTGCCCCGCAGCGGGCCGTGGTCGCCGGTGCGGGGCTCGCCGCCGTTGTCGCTGCAAACCAGCACGATCGTGTTGTCGCGCAACTTCTCATGATTGCCGATGAAGTCGAACAACTCACCGAGTTGCTGGTCCATCGCGTCGAGCACGCCGTGGAAGACCGCCTTGGGGCTGCCGTCGCCACGCAGGTCCTTCGGCGGGAAGAAGGGGGAGTGCACGTCGTCGGGCCAGACGTTGACGTAGAACGGCGCGTCGCGATGGACGGCCCCCTTGATGAACTGGATCGCCGACCGCGTAAACTCCTGCGTCACGTACGCACGGTCTCGCCAGATCACCGGCCCGCGACCCAACAGGTCCGACCCCAGCGCGTATCGCTGCGGCCCCTTGCCGTCGTGGGCGTTGTTGAGCGGTAGGATGCGGGCGCCGAGCCCCTCGAAGTTGGTGAGCGACTCCTCGTAGCCGTATTGCGTGATCAACGGCGCGTTGCGGACGTTGCGCTGGCCGCCGAGGTGCCACTTGCCGAAGTGCCCGCAGACGTAACCGTTCTCAGCGAGCGCCTTGGCGAGCGTCGGCGCCGCGGAGTCGAGCCAGTTGGCGATCCCCCGCCGCCGGTTCTGCTGGCGGTTGTCCAGATACGAGTTGATCCGCCACCGCTGCGGGTACTGACCCGTCGTGATCGCGCAGCGGCTCGGCGAGCAGATCGGCGCGTTGACGTAGAACTGCTCGAAACGGACGCCCTCGCTGGCCAGCCGGTCGATGTTCTCCGTCTCAGCGCCCGTGCCGCCGAAGCAGCTCAGGTCGCCCCACGCCATGTCGTCGACAAAGACCAGGACGATGTTGGGAGGTTGCGCGTGGCTCTTCTGCTGAGCGGCGTCGGCGCACGAGGCGCCGATCGCCGACAGCAGGATTCCTACTAAAAGCCGGAAGGTAAGCATCCGCTAGGCCGCCCCCATCAACGGTTTCGAGTCAACCTTAAACGACAACGTCAAATCGCAGAGCGATGACGTGATTTCTTCTTGGGCGGTCGCGTCGCCGTCGCCGTTGCCCCAGCCGCGCGATTGCCCGCAGGCTTCGCGCCGCCACTCCCACTCGACTTCGCCTTGTTACGCGACGGACGCCGCGGCTTGCCGGTCGACTCGAGCTTGATCGGTCCCTTCGGCTTCCCCTGAGAGCCGCCGCTGCGACCGCCACGGCCGCCCGACTTCTTCCTCGTTGTGCCGTGGGAAATCGGCTCCGTCGGCTCGAAGCCATCCAGCGTTGGCTCAATCCGGATCGAGACTTTCATCAGCCGCTCGATCTGCCGCAACAAGCCACGCTCGTCACCGGCGCAGAACGAGAACGCGATGCCTTCGGCGCCCGCTCGGGCCGTGCGGCCGATGCGGTGCACGTAGGTCTCGGGCACTTCGGGCAGGTCGTAGTTGACGATGTGCGTCACCTCGCGGATATCGAGGCCACGGGCGGCGATATCGGTCGCCACCAGCACCGGCGGGTTCTTCCCCTTAAAGCGCTCCAGCGCCCGATTGCGGGCGCCCTGGCTCTTGTTGCCGTGGATCGCGGCGGCTTCGAGGCCCTTGCGCTCGAGGTGCTTGACGATCTTGTCGGCGCCGTGCTTGGTGCGGCTAAACACCAGCGTCCGCCCCCGCGCCGTCTCATGCAGCAGCTGCGTCAACAGGTCGGGCTTCTGCTTCTGATCGACGAAGTGGACCGACTGCTCGATGCGGTCGGCGGGCGTCGAGACCGGCGTCACTTGGACCGACACGGGATTGTGGAGCCACTCGTTGGCGATCTGGCGGATCGGCTCGGGCATCGTCGCCGAGAACATCAACGTCTGTCGCTCGCGCGGCACGAGCCGCTCGATGCGCTTCAGGTCGGGCAAGAAGCCCATGTCGAGCATCTGGTCCGCCTCGTCGAACACGAGGACCTGGACGTGCTTCAGTTCGACGTAGCCCTGGTTCACGAGGTCCAAGAGCCGCCCCGGCGTGGCGACCAGCACATCGACGCCGTGCCGCAGCGCCTTCACCTGCGGGACCTGGGAGACGCCGCCGTAGATGATCGCGTTGCGTAGGGCCGTGTGCTTGCCGTAGCGGTTGAGGCTGGCCCCGATCTGGGCGGCGAGCTCACGCGTCGGCGCGAGCACGAGGCCGCGGATCGTGCGGGGCTTGGGAGTCGCCCCGTGGCGGTTGCGGCGACGCTCCGGTCGGTTGGGGCGTTCGACGGTCGACTCTTGCTGCTCGGGCTGGGCGGTGTTGGTGTCGCGTTTGGGCGTGGACTGCACCAAGCGGTCCAGCATCGGCAGCGTGAACGCCGCCGTCTTGCCGGTGCCG